GGAAAAAATGTGGGGAAGCAGGTGGCATCGAGCAGGTCACATGGGGAGAATTCTGACTGGGTACATTCAAGGGAATAGTGGAAAATACAGTTGGAAACACAGAGAAAAGCTGGTGGAGACCCTTGAATGTCAGACTAAGGAACAATGGCTTGTAGGCAAGGGCACTGAACTTCTATTCTTTCTCAAGTAATTTTATAACTTCTGCCTCTTTTCTTTCTTTCCTTTAATCCATCAGGACTTTCTGACTTTGGTTATGTAGCTTTCAAATTAAACCCAACTGTGCTATCTCAGTGAGCTTTGACTAAGGACTACAGAAGACCAGAGTAAAAAGACAAAAATATTGATTAATGCCGGGGGTGGCGGTGGACCATGATACTAATAATAGCTAAATACTCTTTTTCTCAAAATGCAACATCTTGGTGCTAAGTTCTCTACATGGCTAATCTCTTTTAACTGTGGCAAGTGTGAATAATGGGAAAATGTGCTCAGCACTATTGATATCCCCATTTTACAGAAGAAAAAACCGAGGCTCAGAAAGGTTTAGTTACTTGTCCAAGGTCACACAGCCAGTAGGCAGCAGAGGCCGAGTTGAAACCTACTTGACTACAATGCTTATGTTTTAATTCCCTACTTTTCACCATGTAGGATTCTAGAAATCCTGGTTCTTGAATTCCATTTCTACCACTAATAGCAGTGGCAGGGTGGAGTTGCCATTTAGTGAGATGAGGAAGCCTGTGGATGACACGGGTAGGCATGCTGTTGCTTGCTGTGAGGTGTGGGAGAGGAGCCCGGTGTTGCCCATGCTGGGCGAACCTTCGAATGGAGATGTCGAAATTTAAGTACCCATGTCAAGAGGCGGCTGGATACTTAAGGCTCGACTTTCGGGGTGGGCCTAGGCCACAGACATGAATTTGGGACTTGTCAGCCGGTAGCTGTATATTTAACCCTTGGGACAGGGGGCGTCTCTGTGGAAGGAAGTGCCGTCAGAGAAGATGTCTAAGAATGAAAGTCTGGGGAACTCCGAGGTTTAGAGGATAAGATCCAGTAAAGGAGATTAAGGAACTGCGGGCAGTGTTGGGGGGAGGGACCAGGTGAGGAAGGGTGTCTGATGTGACTGGCAAGGCCAGTGGGACAGGACTGACACACAAGGGGTTTGGCAGCCACGATGAGGGGTGGGGAGGTGCGACGTCATGGCCACTTTGACATGAACAGTTTTTGTGGAGGATAAAAGCCTGAATGAAGTGAGTTCCAGAGAGAAAAGGACACAAGGAAGCAAAACCACGGAGTCTCTTTCTTAATATCTATAGCCAGAATGAATCTGAGGTTTGACGTCACTTCTCACCACACATCCCTTGAACAAATCTCGTCTCTTGATATTAAAATGATATGATTTTTGAAGGACTAGATTGTGATTTATCTTTTACATGCTTTGCCAAGGTTGGTGTTTAAATAACAGTTGGAGAATTTGGTTAAACTTTTAAAGAAAGGCATATTTCTTGTTTAAATCTCCTGAATCTGTGGTAACAGGTTAAGCACCACCCCCCAACCCCCCTTCAAAAGACCCTTCTGGAATTATTGGTTGGCAACAGATATATAGTGTTTGGTTTCTTGGTTAATGGATAAAGATCAAATTCTCATTATAGGACCTTTTTTTTTTTTTTTTTTTTTTGCAATGAATCTCTTAAATGCATATCTTATAACTCTGGTCCAATTGTTGAGGGGCTAGAAAAATTAAAAAAAAAAAAATCTCGTCGTCCCTGCCAACACGTTGGTTTGTGTGAATCACAGCTCAGTGAAACCTTTCAGGCATATAATTTATCTTTTCTTTGGCCTATGTAGTAAATGCTTCATTTGTTCATGAATTCTGGCCTTGTTTTAATTATGCTATGCTCTGAATGTAGTTTTATGAGGCACAAAAATAAGATTGTCATTCTGAAAACACAGAAGATTTGTGTGCTTCTCCCAGAATGAAATGGTGGCATCTTTCTCCCAATTCACAGCTCTGCAGGTTTGTGGTTGGAATTCCAATCCAGGAAGAAGCATGCAGTGAGACTGGGGGAAAAGGTTTGTGGGGTGGGAGGGCAGGGACAGCTGACACGGCTAAGCCCAACACATAATCTACACTGAGAATCCCGAATCAATACACTGACGGCCATTTATGCATAACGCGGGACTCCCACCAAGAAAGCCACTGATGGAGAAGTTTTGTTCGTGTTACTTTCTGAGGGCTGGATTCCCTCATTATGCTCATGGAAGAATTGATTCCTCCCCCTCCCCCGCCCAATACAGACCATGCAGCCGGTGGTCGGATGAGACATCTCAATAATCAGAAGGCTGTTTTCAAGACCTTTGCAGATAGATGGATTTGAGTATCCGCACGTTCACAGAATAAAGGAGACATAAATGACTACCTCCTGGTTTTCCGTGTTTTATATGTGTATAGTGCAGCGTGGGCCCTCAATACTCAGATTCAGTGATATGCCACTAAAAACATGGGCATCTGTAGTATAACAAAACCAGATGCAAACCTCATTGGTGAATCTGAGGGAGTCAACTCACTTTTTTCAAAAGAGGTAAGTTCCAACTCGTGTGTCTTCTGGGAGGTCCCTGTGACTTTCAAATATCATGGGCTAGACTCTACCAGATACTTGCCATGCTCCCAGCATAAGCCTCCATCTTCTGAATCAAATCTCATTTTGGAACTCATTCCACTCAAATTCAGGTGCTGGTCCTAAGAGCCTTTCATAAAAAAGCTGAGTGGATAAATTCCAACTCTAAAGTGTCCTGCACTTTTCTTAGACTAGGAATGGATTGGTTGCCTTGGACTTTTATGGTTAAAAAGGTTCAAGGGTCAGGTATCAGATCCTAAACTGGTTTTCTTAATTAAGGTGGGGGGATTTGGAGGAGTCACTAGACACCTGCCCCACAACGGGCAAAGCTCAGTCCTTCATCCTCTTCCCATAAATAACTCCATCTTTTCCTGACTCGGGCAATGGGTTGGCTTTGGATGCCCAAGTGAAGGGAACATGTCTTTATTCAAAGTCATAACTTTCAAATGGCCTTAGGAACCAGGACCAATAATAGAACTCAGGAGTTTCTGCTCAGAGTCAAGCAGTAAATCGTTTCTCACATATTCATGAATATTGATGACTAGTTTCTAGCCCCAAGACAAGTAACTTTCCAGGTCCAGGTCTATACGTTTGCTGGAAGGTTCCCTGAGCCAGCGAAGCCAATTCTCTTTGTATCTGCAGCACTCAGCCTCCCCACGGAGAGCACTTGGCACCTCGCACAAGAATCTCAGGGGTTTTGTACCTCTTCTCTGGTAGGACCACAAAGTCCCTGAGGACAAGGGCTCTGTCATGGCCATCCCTTTAGCCTTGTCTCACCTGTAGCTGGCAGGGTCACACTCAGTAAGACGTGATGCCCAGATGCGTTTGAAGACCTACTTTGAATTATGCAGAAAGCTCTTCAGTTGGCCCTCAGCTGGAGCATTCGGGGAAGCGGCCATTTGAAGGATAGTTTTTTAAACTTTTGAAAGAGAATCTGAAAATCAGTTCTTGGCATAGAAATTCACAGAAGCAGCAAGAATGCTGATAGTAAGAACCTGAACACACACGCCTGACTGTCTTTCCCCAGTTGTAACTGTCCAGAATGTTGAACTATTTCCTAACATTTAAAATATAATTCTCGGGGCACCTGGATGGCTCAGTGGGTTAAGCCTCTGCCTTCGGCTCAGGTCATGATCTCAAGGTCCTGGAATTGAGCCCCACATCGGGCTCTCTGCTCAGTAGGGAGCCTGCTTCCCCCTCTCTCTCTGCCTGCCTCTCTGTCTACTTGTGATCTCTGTCAAATAAACAAATAAATCTTTAAAAAAATAAAATTAAATATAATTCTCGACACCCTCCTGGGTACATTAAAACCACAGACTAACATGAGAATCGCTTTCATTAAGGAGGATGTTATATGTAGTGTTTAGTACAGAGCCCGGTATACTGTAAGTGCTCAATAAAAGACACCCAGTGCTATTAGCAACAGGGCAGTGCAATTAGTTGTTATTTAGACAAATAAATTAGCAGCCATGATATAGAACCCCGTAATGAAAAACTGAGCCCAACTAATTTTTTCCTGCTTCTAACCTTACTGCTGACTGCATTCCCAAATTTTGGAAAAATACTGTTATTTAAAAGCCCAATGACTAAAAAAACCAAGTACCTTAAAATACAGTATAACAACTTTTATTTCCTTTTTCATTCAAGGAGTTCCTTTCTCAGCCCACATACAAACAAACTCTCTCAAGATAAAAAGCCAACACTCTTTTTTAAGATCAAAAGAACCTGCCTTTCTTTGTGCAGGGGGGGAAAAGAAAGGAGCTGATTCCGGACACCTCCTTAAAAAAAAAAATCTAGTTTTTACAAAGATATGACTCCAGCTTGCTGGAAAATAATTAGTACATAAAAGAGCCTGCCCAGAGCTATAAAAGCTCTTTATTTAAACCCACACTTTGGTGCAAAAGATAGTTAAAGATCAATCCAGGCTATTAAAAAGAAGAAATGAAATGTATTCCAACAAAAGCCTATAAACACACGGAATGGGGAACAACCTACTGAGACCAGGCAGGGTAGTGAAGTCTTTCAGGTACCATTTTTATTCTTCTAATGCCTTTCCCTGCAGACTCCATTGATCATAAACGTAATCTGTCTTCCTCTACCTTTGATAAATGGAAGGACGAATTCATCTGTATGTAACTCACCTCCTCTCTTCTTTTACATAAAACAGATGTCACAGCTGTTACTGCTCTGCAAACAGATGTTTCCACCCACAGAAACATGGGGGACACTCCACCACAATGTGCTATTTGTTCTAGAGGGGTCGACGGCTTGAGACCTTGTCGGGGCCGCTTGGTGACTGTAGAGCGATGGAGGTGCCTTTGTCTCAGCCCCTTAGAGCCCCCCTCCCAGAGCTGGTGTTCACAAAACGGATCGCCCCTGTCCAGCACTTACCGTCTCTGCAGGGACATCATCAGATGGCCTGGACAATCCGGAAACCTCTTGGGCTTGGTCTTGACACTCTGCACCCTTGGCTTCCTGGTGGCTGTCGGCTGGTGCCTTTTCCCGTCCCTTGTCCAGTTTGAAGAGTTTGTCCAAGAAGCTGGAGTCCCTAGGCTTGGAGGGGGCCGCTCCTCCCGACTCAGGTGGGGCAGGCGCCGGTCCCCCAGCGGCAGAGAAGCCTCCGTCCCCGGCCGGGCTCTGGCCTGGGGTTTTATGTGGGTCGTGCCCCAGTGCAGCTGCCACCGGAAGTGCCACGCTCTCACTTGGTTCTTTGTTTCCTGGAGCGTTACTGGAGCTGACATCAAGCTTCACTGATCCAGTGGATGAATCCGTGGCTTGGTCTCCAGTACGTCCTGGTACAGGCCGCGAGAGTGTCAAGAAAAAACGAGATTTAGCAGCTGGTGCCTCGAGTTTGGCCTCTTTCCCAAGATTCTTTCCGTTGGCATCTGCAACAGCGCTGATCTCCATTGTCTTGGGGGAAGAAGTGGCCACATTATCCTCCTTGACACTTATTCCCAAGTCGACTGTGAACACAAACATAAACAACGGTTATTCAACCCGGCGAGGAAATGCCAGGATGGATAATGGACTCCAGACGTTTGATACACAGAGGCCATGATGAAGCGGGGGCTCTGCGGCTGTCCGCTCACTCTGCGAAGCAGAACTGGGTTATCTAGAACTCTGACCCTGCTCTTCTTGCGAGAGAGGAACTGGGGCGGGGGGTTAGCGAGGAGGAGAGCCGGTTGGCGGAAGTCACACCCCAGGCACCGTACTAGTGACACTCGTGTTACTTCTCCGGTGGCAGGTTTGGAGGAATCTCCCGAGAAGTAAATCGTCATGATTTCACTGCGGAGGCAGCGTGGACTCTGGAGCTAGAACAAGGCTTCTCCACCTTGGGACTATGGACGTTTGGGGCAGGATCATTCTTTGCTGTGCCTCAGCCCCTAGATTAGCTGCGTCCCTGGCCTCAGCCCAGTAGATGTCAGTGCCCACCCATGCCCCCACATTGTGACAATCCAAAATGCCTCCAGACACTGCCCTATGTCCCCTGGGGTGGCAGGGGAGGGGGGAAAAATCACTCACATGAGAGAACCACTGAGCTAAATTGTCTCTTTGAATCTGAGTTACTTAACAGTCTTGTGCCTCAAGTTTCTGGCAAAGTGAGGCAAATGGTAGAACTTACCTCCTAATTTTGTGATGCAGATTCCATGAGTTAAGGTCAGCTGTTATCATGACCCACAAGTGACAAAAGTGGCTGCCACAGGGCTTGGTCCCGGTCTGCACAGCTGCTGGGTGAGCTGCTAAGTCGCAGAGTCTGGTTTTGGACAGATACCTGACCCCGACCTTTGTGCTCTGCCTTACCATCTGGCCTATGTTAGCCTAGATTTTGGGGATGGTGAGGGGAGATCCCATGTTGAAGGCTGGAAGGGAAAGCAAGCGTCCACACAGGACAGCAAATTAGACCTCAGGGGGGCATGGAGTCAGAAGCGTAGAGTAGGGTCCAGAGCTGCGTGAGGACGTGGGCTCCTCCTCCTCCGGGGAGGGGCCGGCTTCCAGCATCCCGCTGTTTCTGCTTGGACCTCTGCCTGGGTCTCATTGAACTGCTTTTCTTTCCCAGGTGCCTTTTATAAAGCAGGGCGATATTCAGGAAAAAAGGAGAGACCACGAATTTTGGAATGAAAGTTAAAGATCAAGATTCTCTGCTGATAAACTATGTGACCTTGGTCAAGTCACCAAAAATCTTTGAACCTCCTTGTACGGAAGATGGGAATTGACAGATAGCGTGATTATCTTTAAGGATTCTCCCACAGCGTTGCCAGCTTTGTGTTTTGCTTTATACAGCTGTAGCCAGGCGCTTTTATTTTTTATTTTTTTTAAAAGATTTTATTTATTTGTGTGTGAGAGAGAGGGAGCAGAGAGAGCGAGCCCAAGAGGTGGGGAGGGGCAGAGGGAGAGGGAGAAGTAGACTCCCTGCTGAGCAGAGAGCCAGACATGGGATTTGATTCGGGATCATGGCTTCACCGACTGAGTTGCCCCATAGTCAGTTACTTTTAAAATACGTTTACAGGAAGACAGAGAAACTGACAAAAAGAGAAAGGGGGAGAATCTTTTGGTCTGCTCATATAGCTCAATAATACGTGTGAAACACACATACACACACACACTTTTATTAGCAGTTGTTTTTGCCAAACTCTGGTAACTCGCAGTGTCTAGAGTCAGGAACAAACAAAAAGGAGAGACAGGAAAGGGAGAGCTGGACCCCTGTCCGGTGGTCATCACTGAGGAGCACAGAAGGGACAGTCCACAGGCCAGTGACAAGCACTAGGGGTTCTTTACAATCTCAGATCCCAAGGAAGTCACCCCGTAGGAGCATCGGGTATGCCCACCAGCTCTTCCTCTCCCTTTCCCCATGCTCCAGAATTCATAATCGTGGTAAACCTTGTACTCAGGGAGAGAAGGCGGGAGGGAGAGCGGGAATAAGGGAGTTAGACGGATGTGTCAGGTGCCAAGTAAGCCAGTAGGCAGCTGAAGCATCACAGTGAATATAAATGAATCGTGGGGACAGTCCATGCCAGGAGAAGAGGAAACAGTTGACAAAAAGGCAGAGACTGAGATTCGAAACAAGGAAGAGCTTTTCAAAATGCCAAGAGCATCCACCAATCTCTTTCTCCTTTTCCTCCCTTCCTTACTCTCCAGCCAGGAACCGAAAGAGCTAGTGGTAAGAGCGTTACACTCAGAGAGAAAGTCTTTGGGGGGAAAAAAAAATCTTCCCAAGGACAGACTTTTAAAATCAAGGTTAAAATTGGCTCCTATCATTATAGTAGTTTCAGGTGTACAACGTAGTAATCATTCAATACTGGTATACACTATGAAGTGACCGCCACAGGAAGTCTGGTTACCATATGTCACCCCTTCACCCTGCTGAACCCCCTCCCAGCCCTCTTGACTCCTCTGATAACCACCACTCTGCTCTCTGTACCTCTAAGTCTTGTTTTGTTTGTTCATTTGTTTTGCTTTTTACATTCCACATACAGTGAAATCACATGGCATTTGTCTCTCTCTTGACTTATTTCACCTAACACAGTATCTTCAAGGTCCATCCACATTTTTGCAAATGGCAAGATTTTCTTCTTTTTTATGGCCAAGTAGTATTCCAATATATCTCTATCTATCTATCCACACACATACATACACACATATATATATAGTCTTCCCCTTTCCCCTTCAGATTTTCACCAACACTTTTTATTTCCTGTTGGGTTTTTGTTTTTTTTTTTATTAGTCATTCTGACAGATGCGAGGTGATATCCTAGGGTGGTTTGTATTTGAATTTCCCTAATAATTAGTAATGCTGAACAACTTTTCATGTGCCTGTTGGCCATCTGTATATCTTCCTTGGAAAATGTCTATATATTTAGATTCTCTGTCCATTTTTAAATCAGATTTTTGTTGTTGTTGTTGCTATCGAGTTGGGTTCTTCATACCTTTTGGATATTAATCCCTTATTGGATAAATGATTTATAAATACTTTCTTCTATTCAGTGGGTTGCTTTTTCATTGTGCTGATGGTTTCCTTTGCTGTGCAGAAGCTTTTTAGTTTGATGTAGTCTCTAAACGAACTTTTTTTTTTTTTAAGATTTTATTTCTTTATTTGACAGAGATCACAAGCAGGCAAAGAGGCAGGCAAAGAGAGAAGGGGAAGCAGGCTCCCCGCTGAGCAGAGAGCCCAATGCGGGCTTGATTCCCGGACCCTGGGATCATGATCTGAGCCAAAGGCAGAGGCCTCAACCCACTGAGCCACCCAGGTGCCCCAGACTTTTTTTTTTAAGGGCCCAATATATTATTTGAATAAAGGATAAATTCTTTTCATCCAGGTATCTAGACTAGCCCTCAAATGCATTTAGAAATTACAGCAGATGCAAACTTTACCTTTTGATATTAGAGAATGGAGAAAGTATTTCTAATAACTTGTACGAACTAGGACTTTCTAGATGGGACATTCCATAATAATGAAGGTCTGTCCTCCAAACTTGGGTGAGTGCATACTCAAGTCCAACACCCAGAGATTCTATTTCCTTTGCTAAAATGCTTACCTCCTACGTGGGCACATGATCTAGGCTAGACTAATTCTGTGGCTTTTGCTGAACCCATTAGAACAGAGTTACACTCTTTATGTTTGGGCTGGCAAATCAGTGGGAGTGCATCTGTAAGTGGTGGACTTGGCCGTCACATTCACAGTGCGTGCCCGAGAACAAACTCAGATGAAAGCAGAGCCAAAAGATTGAGGGAGCAAATAGCCAGTGATAGAATTTAAATGCCTGGATCCAGCTATGCCTGAAGCTGACATTTACCATTATATGGCCAACAGATTTTTTTTTTTTTCATTTTTGCCAGTTTAAATTAAGTACATACTCAGTGATTTGGAGAGAATTTTATGGAATTGGCCAGTATCCATTTCACTTGTCAAGTAATAGCAAACAATCCTCTTCCTGGGAAGCTGTCTCCAGGCTCTTCAAGTCTGTCTAGGAGGAAGTCAGTATGGGAGGAAGGAGGGTAAAGAGAATGAAACAGGAGGAAGTAAGTTAGTAGAAGCTAGATAGAAAAGCCACCAATGCTTTGCCTTCACAATAAAAGTGAAAGGAAAATATCCACTTCAGGAAACAGATTACAACTTTTGAGACCTTCAACAAACATTAGAAATGAGATACGTCCTAAAACATCGACTTAAATGGACACGCATGCATACATGCACGCACATGCACACACATACTCACACACACCCGATCTGTGAATGAATAGGAAGAAAACCCATTGGAGTTACAAGTTTTATAATCTTGCAAAGATGAATATTGTATACATGCCTTCCTCACGTTATTACAGAAAGAATTTAAAAGTTCCTTCAGGATGATGGGAACCAAGCTTTCAGTTACTATGAACAATCTTGAGAGAAGTTCATCTTGAATCTGGTTGCAATAAAAAGCTTTCTCATAAAGCAGACACACAGACGATATACCAAAGAGATTTTACTTTCCATGAAAAAAAATGTGTAAGAGTTTAAGGGAGATAAAAAGGAATCAAGTGAGAATGCAAACGACAGCTCCCAAATATGTGAGAGCGTTGAAAATTTTGATCTTCTTAGTGCAGAAAATCTATTTTGTATTATGTGTGTGGCTTTTTAAGAGAAAGTCATCACAGGCAGACCTGTGATTGAGAACTTATCTCCAGCGGCATTTTGGTGTCATTTTTAGAACCTCGGTTTGACTCTCGAATATGAAATACAGATGGTCCTTGACTTACAGTGCTGGGACTTGTGTTTTTTGGCCTTACAAAGTGCAAAAGTGATACTCATTCAGCAGAAACTGTATGAGGAATTCCGAATTTGGATCTTTTTCTGGGCCAGCGATATGCGGGGCGACCCCCTCTAGTGATGCTGGGTCTTGACAGCTCCCAGCAGGGTCAACAATAGGTGCGCTGACAACCATCTGTATCCTTACAGCCATTCTGTCTCTCCCTTTCAGTGCAA